CCGAAAATCCATTTCCTCAAAGGCATTTTTTTAAATCTGAAAAGACATACTAGGAGCTCAGCAGAAGCAGTTTCACCAGTTGTTTGCTAGTTGTTGCTGCTGATAGGCTGCAGGAGTTGTGTGGGTGTGTGTTGTGTGATGAGGAAGCTCAGCTTGGAGACACAGCCCAGAGGAGGAGCTGATCCTAAAAGGAGGTTCTAGGCCCAACCCGCTGTTTTTGCTCTCCTGCCTGGCTGCCTCAGGACACAGGGTTTCTCAATCATGCATGAATGAATCAAAGTAAGACTCTCTGTATGTTTTTGATGAGAGGATAACATTATAACATGATATAAAGCTCAAAAAGGTTGATTTTACATGATATTGCCCCTTTAGATAATAAACACTGACAGTTATTTTGGTTTACATCATATTTGCTGCTCGTAGAGGAAAATAAGATTGATTCCACAAAGCATTCAGACAATAAACATGGCTCGTTAACAATGATTCTATAGCGGACATATTGATTTATTCTCAAAAACATGCTGTCAACAAAAAGTTTGGGATATAAAAGTTGACAAAAGGTGTGGCGAGGAGCAGGGTCAAGAAATCATTTGTAAACAAACTGAGGGATAAAAAAATGTTAATATGTGGCTTCAGTGTTCAAACTGACCCTTAATGATCTCCGGGCAACAGTTGCGTTGTTGACATGTCCAGACCTCAGCAACCACTTGTTTTAATGTGATGCAGCTGCAGGCCGTTGTGTCATTACGAGTCCCCTGCAGCGGTGAGAGTCTCTCTGAGTCCTGTGGGTGAAGAGGCCATCAACCATGTGGAAATAATTTTCATCAGGACCTGCTTTCACCTTCCTGCTTGACTCTGACACTGGGCTGTAATGGAGATAGGGAGTCGTGGTGGCGGCGGTGGGACGGGGGKTCTTCTTTCTTTTCCTCCCTGATTGGAGGTAGCCTGGGTGTGCAGATTGCGGCAGCTCTATATCTGTCAGTTCGCTGTGCGTCCATCCTGCCACCCTCCGACTTCACCGCCGGGTGGAAGCCATAAATGTGTCAGCGTGGCCGAGCGACATCTACTGTGTGCAGCGCCGCTTTAACAGCCTCTGCCAGCCCTTCCTCCAGCTCTCTGTGAGGACAGTAGCAGTGAATGACATTTCCACTGAGCCCAGAGGACACAGAGGTAAAGCCAAGGCCAGCGGGAAAGCCATGCCCCTCGATCAGAAAGCCTGGACTGCAGCACCAAGATGTAAACACCAGTTTCCAAACCATGAGTCAAACCCATAAAAAGACAACATGTTTGTCCTGATGAAGCTTTCAGCCTCATTTCAGTCTTTTATGTGATTTTGGCAGCAGCAGCAGGAGGGGAAGAAGCAGAGGTAAAGTCTCTTTGAGCTACCAAACAATGAGTCACGTACACAACCCTCTGCCGTCTCGAGCTGCATGCTTGTGTGCGTGTGTGTGTGTGTGTGTGTGTGTGTCCCTGGCTACTCGGGGGATCGCTGACAGACTAACGAGTTCCTGACTACAAGAGAAACGGTGAGCAAGCCGGCCATCCGCTCAGGTCTCCTCCTTCCCCTGGTCCAGCAGCTTTCTTCCTGCATGACGCACACAACACGGCAACGCACACACACCAAGAATACTTTATTACAGCGCACACTCTGTGAAGTGAAATAAGGTCAGCTGAACGTCTGTTAGATCACAAAGGTTTAGGTTCACCGGTTCGCCATCCCTGCCCAACAAAAAAAAAGTTTTTAAGATCATTTCATGCTGCGAAGTGATGGGATCGTTGTTGTCAAACTTTAAAAATATGCCCAATCTTAAGAGTAGGGGTGTAACAATACATCAATTTGTATCAATATATTGATATAATGGTTCATGATTCAATTATATTGAGGCAAAATGAAAATATCGATATGCAGGTGTTGGACAATGAAACTGAAACACCTGGTTTTAGACCACAGTAATTTATTAGTATGGTGCAGGGCCTCCTTTTGCAGCCAATACAACATCAATTTGTCTTGGAAATGACATATACAAGTCCTGCACAGTGGTCAGGGAGATTTTAAGCCATTCTTCTTGCAGGATAGTGACCAGGTCACTACGTGATGCTGGTGGAGGAAACTGTTTCCTGACTTGTTCCTCCAAAACACCCCAAAGTGGCTCAATAATCTTTAGATCTGGTGACTGTGCAGGCCATGGGAGATGTTTAACTTCACTTTCATGTTCATCAAACCAATCTTTCACCAGTCTTGCTGTGTGTAGTGGTGCATTGTCATCCTGATACACAGCACCGCCTTCAGGATACATTGTTAGAACCATTGGATGCACATGATCCTCCAGAATGGTTCTGTAGTCCTTGGCAGTGAAGCGCCCATCTAGCACAAGTACTGGGCCAAAGGAATGCCATGATATGGCAGCCCAAACCATCACTGATCCACCCCTCCATGCTTCACTCTGGGCATGCAACAGTGGTACTCTTCTTTTGGGGCTTCTCCACACCTTAACTCTCCCATATGTGAGGAAAACTGTAAAGGTGGACTCATCAGAGAACAATACATGTTTCACACTGTCCACAGATTATTTGCACTCCTTGGACCACTGAAACTGACGTTTGGCATTGGCACGAGTGACCAAAGGTTTGGATATAGCAGCCTGGCCGTATACAGTATATTGACCCTGTGGAGCTCCTGACGGACAGTTCTGGTGGAAACAGAAGAGTTGAGGTGCACATTTAATTCTGTCGTGATTTGGGCAGCTGTGGTTTTATGTTTTTTGGATACAATCCGGGTTAGCACCCGAACATCCCTTTCAGACAGCTTCCTCTTGCGTCCACAGTTAATCCTGTTGGATGTGCTTTGTCCTTCTTGGTGGTATGCTGACATTACCCTGGATACTCTGGCTGATACATCACAAAGACTTGCTGTCTTGGTCACAGATGCTCCAGCAAGACGTGCACCAACAATTTGTCCTCTTTTGAACTCTGGTTTGTCACCCATAATGTTGTGTGCATTGCAATATTTTGAGCCAAACTGTGCTCTTACCCTGCTAATTGAACCTTTACACTCTGCTCTTACTGGTGCAATGTGCAATTAATGAAGATTGTCCACCAGGCTKGTCCAATTTAACCATGAAGCCTCCTACACTAAAATAACAGGTGTTTCAGTTTCATTGTCCAACCCCTGTATATCGTCATTGTATGCTTGATGTAGATCAATATCATATGCCCATCTAACACAATAATTGTGTTAGATGGGCATATGATATTGCATTGTATTGATTGCAGACTTGTGAATTGAATTTACTCATGACAGACTTTGTGATATCGAGAAATACAGTATCAAATCGTCATCCAAAATAATTGATATAATATTGTATCGTGATAAAGTTGGTGATTTACACTTAGAGTTTAGAGACGATTCAAGTTGCATAGAAGACAGGGACACCACCTGTGGACCGGCAGGCTGGGTTGGTGATTACACACACACACACACACAAAAAAAAGAGAAGAAAATCGAGTGCGTTCTAACTCTCTCAGCCTCCTTGAAAAGAGTTTACTCCAAAGTTTCAGACGACAGGCATTAACCAACTGTCAAAACTTGCATTCAAAAGGAGCAGCGTGGACTTCGTCCAGATCATGGAACAGTGGAGCAGATCTCCATCTTTGCTCCAGTCCTTATAAGCTGTTTGGATCTGGAAGWAGGCTTGTTCCCCGAGGCATTTTGCGGGGCTGCAGTGGGAGTATGTTCTTTTAAGGACTATTTTGTCCCTGCGCAACCACAGCAGGAGCTGTGTCTGCATTCTTGGCCCAATGTTAAACTTGTTTCTGCTGCAGGTTGGACTCTGCCAGGGCTGCCTGTATGTTGTGTTTGTGGAGGGTAATACAAGCTGTGGAAAAGATGGGTGTACACCGGGGTGTCAGCTCTGCTTTTTGCAGGTGATGTGGTTTTGTTGGCACCTTTAGGACATGCTGTAACTGTCAGGATGAACTGGGCCAGTCCATAGGGATCAGTCTTTGAGATGGGGTGAAGAGCTCTGAGTAAAGCTTAACTGAAAGGATTTCACTGAGGCGGTTCAGTCATTTCATTACAGGATGCCTCCTGGACACCTGCCTCTGAAGGATTTTAGCCACACCTCCAGTTTGGGACACTTTGGGATTCTCCAAATATTGCCGGAAAAGGTTGCTGCAGGAATGTACGAACCTGTGGCTTTCATGACTTGACCATGGATGGATTTTGATTTTTATCCTTGCACATTGTTATGTTTTGCATCTTTGATTTAAATATAGGACTAAACTATTTTGCATGCTTTTTTTTTCCTTTTCATTTGCATAACACGGCTGGACTCATTGTGGAATGTGTGGTGAATGTTTTGTTCAGAGAAAATGAAAATGTGTTCACATCATCGGCCTTTCATAAGAACCAAAAGAATAAATTCATGCACACCCTGCAGGACAATTATATAAAATCATGTGTGGGAAGTRAATCAGTACTGTCAGCAAGTAATAAAGCTAATAAAATGTATTTACAGCTGAATATGTTTTGAATAAATTGCATTTGTTGCAGAGATTTTTCCACTAATGTCCACACAAAAAGTCATAAAAAGAAAAATAAATCCAATCTGTTGATTTTTGTCAATGTCTTTGGTCTTTTTTTATGGAAAAACTTAATGTTTCAGCTGTTTAATCAGTTTGTTACTTCCATACTGACAAAGAAATGACCAAAAAAATTCATATTTTTCTTTTTTATATTGCACACATTGATTTATTTTTAGGACATGAATTATAACTAACTGTATTAAAAAGCTATGAAAAACCTATATTTATATTTATCTTGTATTGATCAAAGGATAACTCATAACCTCAGGTTGATCACAACATAAACATAGATTAATATAACATACTGATGTGAACATTAAGCTGAGTTTACATAGTACACTATCAGTAAGATGAAAACATGAAATGAGTTGACATTTATGCAACTAATTAAGAAAAAAATTACACAGCAAACCAGATACAGTAAAATATTTTTATTTAAAAATGATTATTCAATTTAAAAATAAGCTTAGGAAATCCAGTGATATATGTCAATAATTAATAATCAGGTTAAAGTGCAAAAATACAATTTGATATAATGCATCTGTACAAAAATAACATTGGAATGTAATATTTCAAAGGAGGGAAATGTGTTTTGCTAACATGGCTTCAATCATTTAATTTTTTTTAAGAAAAACAAGTTTAAAAACTGCATACATGTCATGTCTCTCTTTGGATTATAAGCCTTTGAACCAGGTTTTTTTGTGCTGAGCAGCCACAGGAGGGTCTTTTAAGGTCCATTTCACATTCCACACATCCACTGGGGTCCATGCCAAGTCAGGCTTTGATAACTAAGCACACACCTCTCCGCTAAGGCATGCTTTGGTATTATTGCTTTAAGAGGTGGCTGGTGGAATATTTCATCCTTGATGGATGTTTATACAAAAAGCTGCACCTCAAATGGCTGAGATGAAAAAAGTCATTGGCTGTTGTCTTTGGTCGTCTTGTTTATCCAGTGTCCTGGTCCCCGGCCTTGCTGCTGCGCTGAATCACTTAATCTTAGCAGGCTTCAGTTCTTTGACCTGCATGTGTAATGTTTTGTGGACAGCCAGCGTCCTGGACTGACAGAACCCCTTCCCACACTCTTGACATTTGAAGGGTTTCTCTTTGGAATGGATGTACCTGCAGGAGGAAAAACAACGAGACAGAAAATTAGGACTTCATCCTTTTTTTTCTAACAACTCAGTAACCCTTTGCTTTAAATCAGTCCAGCTGTTTATGTAGGCTGCTTTTCAGAGAACCCAARTGACTTAAAGATGCTTTTGTGAACGCGTCACCAAAATGTTTTTTCCTTCACGCGGCCAGCTGCCACGTTCAGGAACTGTTTGACATGGATGACAATCACACAAACGGCAACATCTTTCTAGAGCAGAGGTTAAATTAATAACACGAGTTTAGAAAAGAGCCCTTTAAAGGCAGGTGTTTCACTCAGGCCACAGACGTCACTTATCAATGCAGAAAGTTAAGGAAATCATCCAACAAGTGTCCCAGAGCGACGGTGAATTTAAGTATCAGTGGTGTAAGATTTATGAGTTAACGTAGAACTCATAAATCTTTTTTTATTTTTTGGAGGAGCTTTGTGTTTGTCTTTGCACCGTAGTAACTGAGAATAATCAACAGGTGTTTTTTTCTTGTTTTACCTCAGACCTTTRAAGGGATCCATGATTAGTTGTAACATTAGACTTTATTTGATAAACAGGTGTTTTAACTGTAAAATAAAGACTGTAAAAATACTGTRGGATGTTCAGTTTTTATCATTTTTAAACTAAAAGTTTAAAAATATATTACATGGACGGGACCAGTTTATTTACACATAAAGCATTCTGGGTGAATGATGACGTGGATAGGTCTTCGGTGCGAGGCTGCTAGCGAGCTATATCCACCCTGAAGGTTAATCTTGGACAATATCTGATGATCGACTCTTTTAAATGAAACCAGAGAGCGTTGACAGAGAGGAGAAGGTAGAAATGACTCAGCCTGGAACTGAAAATATGGATGGAGGACAACAGAGCTGCTTCATGGAAGAAGAACCACAGATTAGCCTGTTGGCTTTAGCGTTAGCCCCGATGCTATCACCATATACATGTATTAGCTCAGCGCTACACATTCTCCTCTCGTCACTGAGGTCCTCCATCCACATGACAGAGAGGGGAACACAAAAATGACTCAGTCTGCAACTGAAAATATGGATGGAGGACCTCAGTTTAGCTTGTTTGTCGTGCTAGCACCGAGCTAATACATATAAGGCAATATAGCATCAGCGCTAGCGCAAAGGCTAACAGGCTAAGCTGAGGTTCTTCTTCCATGAAGCAGCTCTGTTCTCCTCCATCCATATTTTCAGTTCCAGGCTGAGTCATTTCTACCTGCAGTTTGTGTTGCTGTTGGTGTCTAACRCTGATCACAGACTGAGAATAAGAAGAAGCTGCTGCCTTGACTCAGCACGTGTCTCACCTGTGGTCCCTGAGGTGGTCCTGTCTTCTGAACGCCTTGTGGCAGATGTCACACGTGTACGGCCTCTCGTCCGTGTGCGTCCTCTCGTGGATCAAGAGGTTGTAGGATTTGGTAAAATGCCGGCCGCAGAACTTGCAAACGAACTCCTTCTTGGTYTTGGACGGCAGCCGGCCTCGGCTGGACTTGCGCTCCGGCGACGACAGCTTGCTCACGTCCAGCAGGCAGCCCAGGCCGGCCGAGGTCTGGTGTTGAGAAGGAACCTGCGCCGAGGCTCGGGCGGGGCCCGTCATGCTCAGGTCCTCCACCTTCAGGTGGTCCTCCTGCGTGGCCGCCGCCGCCAGGTTGGCGAAGTCGAAGCGGGGCTTGCTCTTGGAGCTCTGCAGCAACCCCGCCGAGTCCAGTTTGGGCTGCAGGAGGTGGGGGAATATGGGGATGGAGGCCATGGAGGAGAAGTGGGGAGGCAGCTTGGAGATGGTGCACCGGGGGAACGCCAGCGGCTGGTAGCCCAGAGTCCAGTGGTGGAGCTGGATGGCGTGGAGGGCGCTGAAGCTGTAGATGCTCTGGAAATGATCGGCTGGCATCTGGAGACCCGAGGAGCTCTGGATGAGGGAGCAGTTGGCCAGCTGAAGGGACGGGTGCAGAGGGACTGGGGCTGGCAGAGTCTTGCTGCCCATGGCTGCTGCAGCAAATCCTGCAGGGCTTCTGGAGGAAACAGGAAACAAAAGCAGATTTTTAAAACTTTACTGCTGAGTTTACGCAAAGAAACAAACTAAAGCACAAAATAAAACTGGTCTGATGAATGTAAAATCACAAAATGATGGGTCAGTCATCAGGGTTTCTTTATTTTTTTTTCGACATATTGGACAATATCTGCACTTCTCACCGCTGGTGGTCCTCACAGKTGCACAAAGACAAAAAGGTGCATCTGCAGACTATAAATATCAATGAATAAAAGTATGAACCAACTGTCAGCCTTCACACACACACACACTGTCAGAAAGCTGCGTGTTTCCTGTTCCCAGAAACACGCCTGAGGCTGTTGAGACAGAATGACAGCATTCAGCCAGAGAAATACCTGCGAGCTGTTACATCAGGTGTGATAACCTGCAGGAACAATAGACAATAATGTGTCTTTGTCTGAGGCAGAAGGTGACGGGTGCGAGCAGGAGCAGCTCCAGGTTTCACAGCGAACGCAGCCAAGGGGCCGCGCCTCGGTTCCACGCCTCACACATCAGACCTGTTTACCTGCCGGCATCCACAGCGCGCTCGCRCTCAAGCTTCTGAGACTTTATTCAGGAGAAATGAATCTAAAAGTGTGTACATGCATCCTCTGCAGCGATGGCAGATATGCATGGAAACAGGTCCTTGGTGCACCAGCAGAGCTGCACTTTTACCCACTGTGATGTGCCCCGTGAAGGCTGTAAAACAGCAACACCTCACAGCCAGAAAAAGAAGAAGTTTAACTGATTTTTGCATCTGTGAGACAGCAGACAGTTTGTTCTTTGTCCTGCTGTGAGGGCTGATCTCTGCTGTCCAGTCACAAATAATAAAGTCCAATTAGATCCAAGTTCTGATTCATAGAAGCTGCAGATGAACAAAACCTGCTGGATAACTGTAGAAGTTTCTGGATGTAACCCCTGCTTCTGTAGGTTGCATCCACACTCCCTATTCTTGTTTAAAACTTTAAACTTTTGCTTTTAGTTGTTGTTCTGTTAGTTTTAGGGATTTAACACCACTTAAGTTAGGGTTAGAAAAACACGTTTAAAACAAACATTATTACAAAAGCCAGGGCGACAAACAAACTGTGGAGTTTCGATTGATTTTTATGAGATTTAACAACTGAACAGGTTTTCTCTGATGTTTCCATCTACATCATTGTAGAAATGAATTTATGGTTCACATAAATCCAAAGGAAGGACAGCAGAGAAACAAATTATCTGTTTGTATTTCAGGTTTTCAGACTCGGCACAGAAGCTGAATGAGGTAACATCACTGTAACGGCAGAAACCAGATCAGTGTAAACTGAACTGTTGCATTAACTAGTTAGTTTTATTACATTTAGTAAAACTTATATRTTGTTTTTATGTAATGTTGAGGAACAAATAAATATAGAACATTTGTAAAGTTGTGCTTATTGTCAATGAGTGAATAATTAATGCTGGCTTTAATAATAACTGTCTTTTTCATAACGTACTTCAGCTGGATTTGACCTTCAATAATAAATAATAATTAATACAAAAATCCAATTACCTTTTTTTTTACTGCAACCTTTGTGAGACTGGGTTGTAGCTAATTGTTTGTGTTTTAATATTAAAGGAGATGTGCTGCTTTTTCACATTTAAATCCTTCAGTTGGGGTCTATAAAACATGGAACTGCAATGCTTTGGTCTGAATTCCTCCTTTTTGTAACTCCACAAGCCCCCCTTTCCCCTACTTTTCTGGGGGTCTGTCTCAGATCAACTCGTTTTGAGGCTGTCTCTTTAAAACCAAATGAAGAGCTTCAAACCCCTCCCCCCCTTCCTGCTTCCTGACCAGTCCATTCTAGTTTGATAGAGGGGTTTATGACAATATAACACCAAATTAGACCTTACTTAGCAGTTTCATCACAAGAAAATATCATAGAGAAAACTGAACAGGTTGAAAAATATGGCCCAAACAGGATATAAAGCACCAGGAGAGACTAATAATATCAATTGTTCTTCCTCCTAGAGACTTTAAGTCCACAACAAAATGTATTTCACTGCTAAAAAACTGACTTTTGCATCCTTTAAAATGTTGCTTTGATATATAAAAATTTTAGTTATGTTATGTGCTGATTTATTAGCATTTGTATTTAGAACAAATAACAGTTTATCAACGTATTTGTCAGTTAAAGATAAAAAGGTGCATTTTTCTGCTCATTGACCTCTCCTATAGCTTGTGATAGACCCATAACTAAAAAAAAACCCTTATTTAAATCAGTAATTATGTCTTTCCATAATAAAGGTTGGTGATGAGCTGAAACTCATTTTACTGAGCAGGTATCAGGTTAAAGCAGAGAATCTGATCTCAAACAAGACTAATTTTGCTTCGTCTGCCTCGTGTTCCTGCATGTGTTTGTGTCTCAGGTGTCAGGTGTGTTGTGTGTGTGGTCTCAATCTTTGCACCTGTAGCATTTTTTATTTATTGCCTTTTTTTAAAGGCATCAAACACCTCAGTTCTTTAACAGCAGCCATTTATATTTCTGTTCTGAGGGAGAAGGGGAGAGGACGAAAAAAGAGAGGAAGCACTAACTGGTGTACGAATGTAAAACACACTGAAAAACTGTATTTAAACAGAGTAAATCAAGTTGTTTTACAGGATTAGTTCACAGAGGAGGAAGCTTATCCCACATTCAGCTGGGCCTTTTGGGATCTTGTCAAAGTTCAACACAACTGTTAAAAGAAGAGAAAACCCAGCTTCTTAACCTGAACTCAAGCAGCTCATCCTCTGAGCTGAAGCTTGTTAATGAGGGGCAGCGGAGCTCAAACAGCCCCCYGCCGACTCCTCTCTGATCAGGACGCTGAAGTAATTGACTTTCACGTCATGGGGGGAGGGGGAGGGGTCACTGGGTGAGAAACTGTAACTGTTAACTCTTTGATATCTTGATCAGACCAGGACACCCGACCCGACACGGGGAACCTGGGGTTCAGTCCAGACTCCACACTGATTCTCCTCGTGTCAACAGAATCTCTTGCTTCCTTTCATTTTCTTGATTTCAATTCAGTCTTTGGGCCAAACTTCAGATGTTTAAAGCATGTAAGATCAGAAGAATTAAATGAAGCGTGTATTTTATTACATTAGAGGTCATTCAGACTGAGGCAGAGCTGGAGCTCCGTCTGGATTTGGTCTTCAGCTGGACGTGAGGAGACCTGGAGGTGTGGTCAGAAAGTCTGCAGAGCTGCTGAAGCTGCAGCAGTGATTGAAAAAAAACTTGTGAACTCGATGAGAAATGAGTCGTTTTTGAAGAACACAACACCCTCAGGGCCTAAACACTGCTGAAAGAATTAGTTTTGGTTTTTATCTAAAACACAGAACAATAAATATCTTTAAGAACCAAACAGGAAACAAAAACTACACGTCTGGTTGTTTCCTAAAAGTTGAAAAACTGATTTAATCAGGTTTCTGTAAATTAAACCAAAGTGAAAAAGTGACAAATAATTTGACATGTTGGTGCCAAAATATGATATATATATA